TCCTATGGCAAGTGAGTAGTCTAGACCTCTGGAATTATACTGCTGCCACTCTGCATTTCCTCTTCTCTCATGCATCCCTTTCCCTCCATCCCACAGCACTGTGCTCTGCAGCACCGGACAGGGCAGTCCTGCCCTTCCCAAGTCTGGGCTTCTGCCTGGCTTCCTGACTCTCACTCAGCCGCCTGCTCTCGTTGGAACATTGCCCTAAACTTCAGCCTCCTTGGCAAGGGCACTGACAGCCCAGCTGGCCACTAGACACCCTCCTGTTCCTCTCAGCAACCAGCCAGAGTCCTGTTTCAACCCGGATGGTCCTCCCCACCCCCCATCCTCTGTTGCCCGGCTCTTCCTGACCACCAACTGAACATTTCATTATCCAACGTTCAGCTTTGACCCTGCGGTATTCCCCTCCCTCCACTAGGAGGGAATCCATGGATATCTGCACCGGCTACCTCAAGCCCAGATTCTGCCCCGACACACACACCAGCTCCAATAAGTACATTTATTATCTTATGTAATAAGAAGTCCAGAGATAGGAAGATTCCAGGGTTGGTTAATTTTATGACTCTCAAGTGTCATTAAGGACCTAGAGTATTTCATCTTTCTGCTCTGTCATCCCCACCTAATGCCTACTCTTTTCACAAGTTGAGCTCTGCAGCTCTCAGTGATCATGGTGAGCTGGAGTTGGTTCCCACAGTCTCCTAAGAGCCAGTTGCTAAATATTCAGGAATTTTGCCTATCAGTTATCCAGCTTGCAATTGGCCATAATGGGAAAATTTACACTACAGAAATGGAAATAGACAAATGCTACAAATCAGGGCTTTTCATTTTTTGGAGAGGGTGTTAGCAGCAGGTTAATGCTGCATCACATCTTCAAACAATAACATTTAGAAAGAGAAAGGGTCTATTTCTCAAAAACACCTTTTTTTTAAAGAGCAGAGAAACTTTTTCTGAAAGCTTCATAGAAAATCCTCCACCCCCACTCTCACCCTCCCAACTTCCTTGTCCTGATTATGTCACATGCCCATGTTTTAACCAAAGATTGGCAAGTGAACAGGATGATGACAATTTTCCTAAAGTATGGGCACCTGATACCTGAAAATCAGGGTTTTCTTAGCTGGAAATAGGGTAGGAGGTAGTGTTTGTGTGAGGAATCAGCAGGATTTGTAGGATCATGCACATACACACATTCTGCCAGACGATTCAGAGCTTCTCTCTCTGCCCCGGACCACCGTGGAGGTTTCAGCAGGTTTACAGGGCAGAAAGAATTACATGTTAGCCAGGAAGAGAATTACATTAATTCTGTCTGTCTGCTTTTAGAGATGGAGTCTCACAAGGTTACACAGGCTAGACTTGAACTACTGGACTCAGTCCTCCTATTGCTGCCTCCTGAATAGCTGGGACTAAGGCACATGCCACCATGCCCAGTCCCTAATTTTTATGTGTTGACATGCTATTTTAATTAAGTTAAATAAACACAAGACTAGATCTCATTAGGCAGTTTACTCAAAATTTTCTCCATTCAGGCTTAATCTAATCCTGATTTTCTCCCTGGCTTGAGTAGACTGTAAAGTTGGAACGCACCTGTATCGTTTTTGGGAGCCAGCTTCTTCAACGGCTTGTCTGAAGTTGCAAAACTTTCAAGGGGATTGTGAAGTATCAGACTCTATGCCATCTGTCTTCACTGGCTCCCAAGAAGGGACCCCGAAACTGCTCTTGAATAATTCCAAGAAAGTGTCTAAATTGCACTTCTCTGCATCCCATTCAGCTTTTTGAGCCTTTTTCCTTTCTTTAATGAAAAAGAAATAGAAGCCTGACCACATATGCCTGTGTTTGTGCACAATGAGATCGGCTTAAAATCGATTTTAAAACAGCCAAGCACAGTGGCTCACATTTGTAATCCCAACACTTTGGGAGGTCAAGGCAGGAGAATTCTTGAGCCCAGGAGTCTGAGACCAGCCTAAACAACATAGCGAGACCCATCTCTACAAAAAAATTAACGAGCACACCTGTAATCCCAGCACTTTGGGAGGCCAAGGTGGGTGGATAACTTGAGGTTAGAATTTCGAGACCAGCCTGGCAAATATGGTGAAACCCCATTTCTACTAAAAATACAAAAATTAGCCGAGTGTGGTGGTGGGCACCTGTGATCCAGCTACTCAGGAGGCTGACGCAGGGGAATCACTTGAACTCAGGAGGCAGAGGTTGCAGTGGGCCAAGATAACCCCACTGCACTACAGCCTGGGTAACAGAATGAGACTCTGTCTAAAAAGAAAATTAGCCAGGCATAGTGGCACACCTCTGTAGTCCCAGCTATTTGGGGCGCTAAGGCAGGAGGCTCACTTGAGCCAAGGAGTTCCAAGCTGCAATGAGCTATAATTGTACCACTGCACTCCAGCCTGGGTGACAGAGTGAGACCCTGTCTCTAAAAATAATAGTAATAGTAACACTTTTGCACAAGCCTCTGTAGGGTATAAAAAGAACTACAAAGCCCAGTCCTTCACTTTCAAGAACTAAGCAAATGAACAGTATAAGTAAAAAACAACAACAACAACAACTATAGTCGTTTAGGAAAAGGATAAATCGTTTCTGGGTAGGTTAGCAATTTTGGTTTTTTAATTAATGTTTTCCACTATTTTATTCTATTATCAAAATGTTCAAACACAAAAGTTGGAAGGAGGTACAATGAACACCATGTCCCCTTCAGTTAGATTTAATACCTGTTCATATTCTGCCATATAACCTATCTAAATATTTTGCTACCCATTTTAAAGGCAGTTGCAGTCATTGTAAAAGGATAAGGTAGTCAGCCTTAATGTTTTAGTATGGGCTGGGCGCAGTGACTCATGCCTGTAATCCCAGCATTTTGGGAGACCAAGGTGGGTGGATCACCTGAGGTCAGGAATTTGAGACCAGTCTGGCCAACATGACAAAACCCCGCCTCTACTAAAGAAAAAATACAAAAATTAGCCAGAAGTGGTGGCTGACGCCTGCAATTTTAGCTACTCGGGAGGCTGAGGAAGGAGAATAGCTTGAACCCGGGAGGCGGAGGTTGCAGTGAGCCAAGATCGTGCCACTGCACTCCAACCTGGGTGACAGAGCAAGACTCAGTCTCAAAAAAGAAAAGAAAACACTTCAGTATGCAACTCTTTAAAAAGGACATTTGCTTAAAATCCATAATACCTTTATCATATTTAAGGTAATGTTTCTTTAATATCATCAAAAATCTAGTCAATATTAAAATTTTCCTAGTTGTTCCAAAAATATAGTAGAGGATATAGTATAATATGATATGATTTTCCAAACCAGATTTATATATTGCATTTGATAGTTACATCTCTTTAGTTTAATCTGAAAGAGTTCTTCTACTTTCTTTTTTTTTTTTTTAAATAACATTGATCTTTGAAAGTAACAGATGAGTAAGTGGTCCCAAATTCTGGATTTGTCTGACTATTATCTCAAGGTGTTAACTTGTTTTTCTAGACTTGATGTCCTGTTCAAATAAAGGACAAATTAGATTCAGACAGAATCAATTATTGTCCTGACGGGAAGCAGATAACATAATCAAAGGGTCTAACTGAAGGATGTGACATGAAGGGACTATTTACAGATGTGTGAGCAGGCACAGGGAACAAGGGATGGTGAGGCACTCTGGGACTGCTGCCCCTAGGTCTGAAGCAGCCTGAGCTGAGTGCAGTCACTGAAGCACTGCAAGAGGTGGAGCTTTGGGAGAGGGGTCCCTACCAGGAGCCATGGATATTGCAGCAACACAGTCACCGCCAAAACTGCACCCGGACAGGGAGTGGGGTGGTGGGGAACAAACACCACATCTCTCTCCTCTACCTTCAAAATGGCTGCTGCAGCCCCTGCATTGACCAAATCTAACCAAAGCCAAAAAGCAAAGGAACCTGGGCAATAGAGTCTGCAGAGGAGAGTCTCCAGTGGTGCAGGGCAGGATGGTGAAAGGCTTGGAATGGATTTATAAGAGCAAATGGAGAATGATGAGCACAGAGTTTTGACGTTTTTGGCTAGAATGCTTTATAGGTCATGCTGTGTGAACTTCAAATTGCATTACATCAGGGGAAACGAAATGTTAGGTTGTCTCCCCCATTAACTAAGCTTGATTTGACCCCTCCACTAAAGCAAAGCTAGCCACATCTCCCCACTGAGATGCAAAGATGTGTTTTCACTTTGCAATCAGCAAGTGATCCAGCGGGAGACACTTGGCACCAGGGGGATTCGTGCTTTTGCCCCAATAACTTTTTGCATCATTGTTTCAGTACCCACGAATGATTCTTGCCTGATCAGTCATTTCAATGGGAGTTGTAAAATGTTGATTTTTCTGATTTCTTTTTCATCCCGTATTTGGATATGGAATGAAAATCGTGAAATTTTATATATTAAAAATAGTTGAATTTAAACCATTTCATAAGATTCAAATGAAAATATTTATTACCTAGCACTGTTTGGGGCGGAAATCTTTCCTCAAACGAGGAGAACCTACAGTTCCTCCTCAAAAAGAGGGAGTTAAAGTTTACTTCTTTTCCTTTCTATACCAGTTGTCAAAGTGAGAGTCAAATGAGTGTTAAATGGCTGCTTTCCTTCTCTTCCTCCTCCTTTTTCTTCTTTCTCTCTCTCTTCACTTTTTCTTCTTATTGCCCGAATTGTCCAAATGTAGTCAGTGAGAACTCCTTCAAGCTAACCCCTTGATCGGATCCTGTTAGTCCTGGAGGAATTTCCTTCTGGAACTATGGTATGTCTAGGCTTACCTGGGTTAAGTTATATTTCCCCACCCCAGACCTCCAAAGAACCTTGGCTAATTTTAGTAGAAAATGATATTTAGAGGCTGGGCATGGTGGCTCACACCTATTATCCCAGCACTTTCAGGGGCCAAAGTGAGAGGATCTCCTAAGCCCAGGAGTTTGAGACCAGCCTGAACAATATGGAGAAACCCCATCTCTCCAAAAAATACAAAAATATTAGCTAGCGGTGGTGGTGTATACCTGTAGTCCCGGCTACTTTGGAGGCTGAGGTGGGAGGATCATCTGAGCCCAGGAAGTCAAGGCTGCGGTAACCAAGCCACTGCACTCCAGCCTGAGCCATGAAGTGAGACACTGTCTTTAAGAAAAGAAGAAAAGAAAATGCTATTTAGAAACCAATAGGTGTTCTCTTTGCCACTGAGCCATTATTGCTTCTAGGCTCTTACAGTGAACAGAGCCTATGCATGCGCCTGCGTGCACACACACGCATACACACACCCCCTTTAAAATCAGGAGTTCACATTAACACTTCCAGTGCAAATTTAATGTTATCAGACAGTCAGGAATTTATGATGAGGAGCAAGGATTTAAGTTGGCCGTGAGAGGTAGATACAATATCTTTTTTGAAAATAATTATTTTCAGCCAGGCACCGTGGCTCACACCTGTAATCCCAGCACTTTGGGAAGCTGAGGAGGACGGATCATGAGGTCAGGAGATCGAGATCATCCTGGCCATGGTGAAACCCTGTCTCTACTAAAACACAAAAAATTCGCCAGTGTGGTGGTGCACGCCTGTAGTCCCAGCTTCTCAGGAGGCTGAGGCAGGAGAATCACTTGAATCCAGGAGAAGGAGGTTGCAGTAAGCCGAGATTGTGCCACTGCACTCCAGCCTGGCGAAAAAGCAAGACTCCATCTCAAAAAAAAATTATTTTCTATACTATAATCCTACTTACAAAGAAAAACAAAACTAAAAAAAGAGAGAATTAATTTATCAACAACCTCACCCTTTTAACACATCCACTCAATCTTTTTATGTAAGTCCTTGGTGGTTAGAGAGCTGAAGAGAGGAGCTTCCAAACAGGAAAGTCCGATCCCAATGTAGAATTTAGGACCTGAAATGAAAAGTTTATATACGAACATTTCTCATCTTTAGGCTTCTCTTTACCCTATACTTTCTGGGTGCATAACCTTTTCACTGTCTCCGACTGTCAAAATCATATCCATCCTCAAGAGTTTTCCCCAACTCCCCCAGCGCGGGGTAGCCTTGCCCTACCTGCAGTGCGTTTCCGGGGATCTGACACCACTTTTCACTTGATACCTTCTAGAGGTATGTGTGGGCCTGCCTTATCTCCCTAACTAGTTCCCAGCTACTTACAGTCAGGAACTGCATCTGGTTGTCTTTGTATTCTAAAAGCTCTTAGCTCAGTAACTCATATATAAGAAGCTTTCAGTAAACATTTGCTACAAGAAATTCAACTGTGGATGGTCCCAAAATGAATCTAACAGGTTTGCACTATATTGTGCAGACCCTCACAACTGTTCTCCTAGAGGAAAGGAAACTTTCCCCACGCCGCTCTATCTTTCACCCTGAAACCTTGCGCTTATGTTATTTTTAATTATTAGTGTTGCCTAGTAATATTTCTACTTTAAGGCTGCTTCTTATTTTCAAATAACAATTATAAACACCTTTAAATGGAGTATATTAGTTTTTTTAATGTCATTAGGTTGAGGTGTAAACAACATTCTAATGCTTTACAAGAGAGGTGACTGAATTGCCTCCTTTATAGGCTATAAAGAAAACGACAATCTGGTGATATTTTTTAAACTCACCATGATAGAGGCAGATGGATACATTATTGTAAGAGACCTAGAAGTCTCTTTCAGCTCTCAAATTTTCATTGAGCTATATAAATTTACACAGTCCCACCTGTCTTATGACTAAATTAAATTGGTTTGGAGCGAAACCTCATTATTGGCAAATGTAATAGTAATTTCAATAGTACTTGACAATACAGAAATCAATTGGCCTCTATTTTCTTGTCTACAAGGTGAGAAAGTTGAATTAATTGATCTCTATAGTCATGAAGCACTATAGTTATGAAACACCCCATAAATCTTTTGGGAGTCTATTATTGCTGAGATACATGTTTTCTATGATATTGATTAGAATAATTTTTTGGCTCCTAAATCTTCCTCATAGCTGATAGATTTTCTAAAAAATAAATTTAGCTTTATTGAATACCTTTAGATTCTTAACACAGGTACTATAGTAGGGGAAAAGGAAAAAGGAAAAACAGACATTGAAAGAACATTAAACACAGGTTTGAATCCCAACTCTGTTACTTACAAACTATACGACATTTGGCAATTTACTTACCCTTGATGTAACAGACTGAATGTTTGTGTCCCTAAAAATTCATATGCCAAAACCTAATCTCCAATGTGATAGTATTTGACAATGGGGTCTTTGGGAGGTAATTAGATCATAAGGGTGGGGTCCCTGTGAATGAGATTAGTGCCCTTATGGAAAAGACTTGAGAGAACATCCTTTCCCCTTCCACTATGTGAGACCACAGAGAAGAGGCCTGTCTATGAACCAAGAAGTAAGCCCTCATCAGACGCCAACTCAGCTGGGGCCTTGATTTTGGACTTCTCAGACTCTGAAACTGTGAAAAATAAATTTCTGTTTATTTTAAGCCACCTTGCCTATGGTATTTGGTTATAGCAGCCTAAATGGAGCAAGACACTTGGTATTTCCATCTAAAATTAAATAATTCTGATATTGTAGTATTGTTATAAGGTTAAATTAGATAACCTAAAAGATTGCCCCTGGCATACCACCTGGCAAATTGTAGATAATGAATAAATGTTTATTGAGATGCCCCTTACTATAGATTTGGTGGAAAGTGGTGGTTGGATATCCCAGGTCAGATTGTCCATTGTAATCAAGGGGTTTTTGTTTGTTTGTTTGTTTTTTGTCAGCATCAGAAATTACCACGGCTAGCTTAAACAAAAGGAAATTTACTAGGAGGATATGGGAGAGTTCACATGAAAGGGAAGGCTAGAAAACCAGGCCAGCAGATGACAAAGTAAAGACGTGTCAGGGTTTGCATGGTGAGAATATTTCAGTAGTCTAGACAGAGTGTTACTTCGTCTAGTGTTACTAGGATAAGTGAGATTTAACTATTTTCGGTCTCTCTCCCACTGACTGACATTCAGGTCCCTTTTAGATTAGCTTGGGTCTTACCATTTCCAAGTGGCTAGGGGAAGTCAGGGCAAAACAGTCCCACCATTTGCAACCAATGGGAGAGAAGCAATTCCTAGAAAGGAGAATATTAATGTTATTACCAAAAGATAGTGACTAGATACAGGACTGCCAAAATTACAAAATATAAATTTCCACTAATCCCCAACACTTTTGTATCGTGGGAATCTATGAAGTATTTGGGACTGGAAAGTACTATATAGAAGAGCTTCTAGAACTCCCCAAAACACCCAGCTCCTGCAGGTGCAAAAGTTACCAGCTGTGGATTGAACTACCTTCCCCCCAGTCTGGAAGGTTCTTCTCAAACAAACAGTTGTACCCTAGTTTTGTGGCTGTGTAACCCCTCTCTCTCCTTTATCAAATCCTGTGACATAAGCCTCCATCTCCTCATCACCCATTCATCATCAAAAACTCTGTGCCTCACTGGAGCCTTAAACTCAAGTCTTTGCCTGTATGAAATTTCTAGCTACCAACGCAGTTAGTCTTCTGAATCTTTGCACCTAACATTTTCCCTTTGATATTGTAGTTTATTTAGTTGAGGTGGTATCTATGCTACTCACCTCATTATGCTTCAGAGTGTGTGTGCGCACGTGTGCATGTGTGTCAGAGTAAAATGAAACGTGTAAGCAGAACATTTTCATACCACTATTTACTACTGAGTCTAATGAGTATAATACAGTCTAATATCATGCATCCTAGAGATTATTATAAGACAGGGTTACAAAAAAGAAAAACCTCATCACAAACCAGTGAGAAACTGACAAGTACCCAGGGATCTGGTTTCTAGTTCAGCTTTGCCACAAATAATCTAGGCTGCCATAGATTCTACGTATCTCTCTGGACTTGCATTTTCTCTCTATAAAATTAGAGGCTTGAACCATATCTGGTCTCTAAATCTCTCCCTGCTTTTACATTCTATTGACTCCAAACAAGGTACAGCCAGACCCTCCATGAGAGCTAAAAAGAAAAGCTAAAACAAAGCAAGGGGACAGATGGGACCAGGGCTCTAGTTGAGATGCCACAGTCAGGAAAGGCCCCTCTGGGGAAGGGACAGTAGAACAGAAGCTGAAGGAAATGAGGGAGTCAACATGTGCGTATCTGGGATAAGAGCACCCTAGGCACAGCCTTTCTCTGATGGTACACAACGCTCTACTCAGCATGATAAGAACTTTCATCCTCTAACACATTTCCCATCCCTGTCAAGTAGAAACAATGCATAGAGAGAGATAATGCCAATCCAAGACAAACCCCACACAAGATGGATGGGGCACAATAGGGACTGATTGGTGCCCATGACTGAGCTGCAGTCTAGAAGTCATGCTGTAGAGGGTGGGGATGGTCAAATCCAGTTAAGCAGATCCAAAACAAGTCATTGGCTTAAAGGGATTGTTGAAGAATGGCATACTGGACTTAAATGGGTGAGGGAAAGAGAAAAGCTAAAATCCTAAGAAGTCAAGTTGTAAACCAGAAATTGTCGCAGAAGGATGCATTTTGAACCAAGAGTAATGACCTGTAGGAGAGTTATTAGATCGATTTAATGGGTCATGACCCATGTATTTTTAAATTATATTAGAAGAGAATGAACTTACCAGACTGTGTCACATAGAGAAAGGGCAAGTGATTGTTCCACGAAACATTTTTTTTCTGTTGTAAACATACATATGTTGAGTCAATTTTGTAAAACTTACTTCTCACTGTGAATGATGATTTTTAAAAAATAATTAAAGCCAGTGGTCTAGAAAAAAGTCCACGTATGGAACAGAGGCCATGGGCAGCTCTTCATTTAAAGATTTAGTGGATGGGCTGGGTGCAGTGGATCATGCCTTGGGAGGCCAAGGTGGGAGGACTGCTCCAGCCCAGAAGTTTGAGACCAGCACAGGCAACAAGGTGAAACTGCATCTTTACAATAAAATGCAAAAATTTGCCAGGTGTTTGTGATGGTGCATGCCTGTGGTCCCACCCCTCTCGGGCTGAAGTGGGAGGATCTCTTAAGCCTGGGAGGAGGCTGCAGTGAGCCGAGATTCACACCACTGCCTTCCAGCCTGTCTCAAAAAAAAAAAAAAGAAAAAAGAAAAGAAATTAATTCCCTAGATATAGAGCTTTTTTTAAAATGTTAAATATGAGCAGAATCCACAAATGAAAGACGTCTGCTCCCCCACCCTCTGCAACAAGGGACCAGGGGACCCCACTATCCACCACCCTTTGTCACCACTACCACCACCGCCACCACCCACAAAAAGAACAGCCTGGTCCCTGACAAGTTGGGTAAGGAATTGCCTGTAAACCAAAAGAGAGGAATCTCAAATGCCCACCACGATATGAGAATTTCAAGTAAATGAAGCCGACCAAGCATAAGAAAAATGGAAATGGTGGGGACTGGGGTGGAGGAAATACATGTGCCGTGCCCTGCCCTGCCCAAGAGGGGCAGCGGTGACTCAGCTCTCAGCCACTGTTGTGCAAAAATGTGGGCCCAGTGTTGTCAGATCTTGGTCTGTTTTCAAGAGACACTGGAAATCCAGGTTTTTATAATAAAAAATATTTTAAAACACTGAGTAAGCCAAACGAAACATGTCTGAAGGCCTAAACACACACACTGCACCGAAATGTGAAAAGCTGCTGTCTGTGGGTGGTGACACTTGGGTCACTTATATTTTCATTTTTCTATTTCACTCCATGTTTCAGAATTTTAACAGTGAACACCATATTACTTTTATAATGAGAGAAAAATGAAGGTTGTCAAATATTTAAAACGGTATAACTAAACAGGTAAACATTTGAGTTTTCTCTTTTTTTAGTTTACAAGCAATTCTTTACCTATCATTTCAGACACCAGGCTGTTCTTTCTGTGGGTAGTGTGGCGATGGTGGTGACAAACGGTGATGGGTAGGCGGGGTCCCCTGGCCCCTTGTTGTTTTATCCTGCATTGAGATCAGGATAAAACAACAAATGTTACAGAAATTTTCTCTGGGTGAATGTTTACATGTGACTAAATTTTTATGTTATGTTTTACAACAAAAGTTTACAGTACATCACAAGTAATTTTAGCCTAACTACAGCAATTAGGTTTGAAGAAAACCCTCAGGTTTGCTGATTCGAGGTTTGTGGTCACTCTCTTTAGCTATTGTTTGCCATCAGGATTTATTAAAGCAATTGCTTGTTCCATAACATTAGTCTCATTTCTACTTTAAGTATTTAGCCCAGATTCCATGTGAGTCTTCTGGATTCTGGCTAGATGTTGGAAAAAAAGAACAGGCAATTCATCCCCCCCTGAGTAATTATAGTATAGTCTACTACAGAGAGTGGTTAGAGTGGTTATGGGTACCAAGCGAGTTAAAATTTATAAAGCACTTTGGATAGGTGCTTGGCACAAAGCAGGTGTGAAATGATTGTTAGCTGCCATTGCTGTTATGACTGTCGTTAGCATAGTCACTTTACTATTATTCAGGAAGTGGCAGTTAAAAGAGTGGAGGAAGCGTGGGACAGAAAGAAAAAAAGGAGGTTTGGAAGGGGAAGAAAAGAGAGACGAGGCATTTCTTAACTTAGAAGACTAAAAAGGGAGAAACTGAAAAAATTGCCAATATGACAAATCTGGAGAAGGGTCGAGGTGGAATTGTAGGCCCAGGGTTAGGACACTGTTGGTGGCATCCAGCAAAGTCCTACAGAACTACTAGATAGTGACTTTTCTAACTGCAGATGACAAACCCATTCTGGGTTATGCAGTCAATTTAGTATGTGACAATCAGCTTTTTTTTTGTTTGTTTTGTTTTGTTTTTTGTGGAGTCTCACTCTGTCACCCAGACTGGAGTGCAGTGGTGTGACTTCGGCTCACTGCAACCTCTGCCTCCCAGGTTCAAGCAATTCTCCTGCCTCAGCCTCCTGAGTAGTTGGGATTACAGGCGCCTGCCACCACACCTGGCTAATTTTTGTATTTTTAGTAGAGATGGAGTTTCACCACATTGGACAGGCTGGTCTCAAGCTCTTGACCTCATGATCCACCCGCCTCAGCCTCCCAAAGTGCTGGGATTACAGGTGTGAGCCATTGCACCTGGTCAGTATTTTTTTTAATGAAAGAGGATGGAACAGAGCGAAACAAATAGTGCCAGGGTGAAAATAAGTATTGTTTATTGAAAATCTATAATTTTCTTTTCTGAGACAGGGTCTCACTCTTTTGCTGGGCGCCAGGCTTGAGTTCAGTGACATGATCTCAGCTCACTGCAACCTCCGCCTCCCAGCTTCAAGGAATTCTTCCACCTCAGCCTCCTGAGTAGCTGGGACTACAGGTGTGCGCCACCAGGCCCAGCTAATTTTTTTGTATTTTAGTAGAGACAGGGTTTCACTATGTTGGCCAGAATGGTCTCGATGATCTCTTGACCTCGTGATCCACCTGCCTCAGCCTCCCAAGTGCTGGGACTACAGGCGTGAGCCACCGCACCCGGCCCTGTGTGTTGTTTTATACAGAGGTATGTATAGGTGGCAGTTGTGAAGGTTAAAATTTTTTGAAAGCTACTTTACTAGACCAAAGTTGAAAGCTTGGCTTTATTTTCTGCATTTAGCCCCCTCTGTAAAACAGAGAAAGAAAATGGTGTGTGTGTGTGTATACGTATACATTCATGTGTATATGACTATGTGCATGTATACATGTAATTATCCTGAAAAAATTTTCAGAAAAAGGGGCCAGGTGGTGTAGCTTACACCTGTAATCCTAGCACTTTGGGAGGCCGAGGCTGGAGGACTGCTTGAGGTCAGAAATTTAAGACCAGCTTGGCCAACAAAGGAAGAGATTATTTCTACCAAAAAAAAAAAAAACAAAACAACTTTTTATTGAGACGAGCCTCACTCTGTAGCCCAGGCTGGAGTGCAGTGGCATGCTCTTGGCTTACCACAACCTCCGCCTCCCAGGTTCAAGCAATTCTCCTGCCTCAGCCTCCCAAGTAGTTGGGATTACAGGTGCACACCATCATGCCCGGCTAACTTTTGTATTTTTAAGTAGAGACAGGGTTTCACCATGTTAGTCAGGCTGGTCTCAAACCCCTGACCTCATGATCCGCCAGCCTC